TTGCGTTTCATCATCGTTTGTATTCTCGTGTTGAGAGAAATCATCGTATGAAAGAAACGAAACGCGTGCACGAGACAGCTGAATCGCATTCCACGTGCACGTGTACGTAGCGAAGTGCATCATTTCCCCAATTGTTTATCGTTCGTACCTCGCCAATATTTCTCGAGCCAAGTTTTTCCGTGGTACGTAGGCACTGTCGCGGTATGTTGGTGGGCTCTATCTCCTTGCACTTGTACGGTTTGTTCATACTGGGTGCGATGTTCCAGCCGACAACAGGTGCGGGTATCTGTGAACGTAACAAAGCCATCGTTAACGTTTGCTATGGCACGAGAATATTTTTAGAGCCATAATATATTTCACTCGTTAAATCTTTGCTCGGCGGTGTTTAGATAGATTTTCAATTAGAATTTTTCGAAAATTTAATTCCTCTTTTCCGAAACTTTGACAAAACAGAAATTGTAGTGGAGTTTCATTGTGAATGAATAGAATATCATATTGTGGAAGAGACAGAGATTCTTTTTCGAACTTTGAGATTTCAAATTTTAATTTGACATTTAATCAAGGTTTGAAAAGGCGTCTGTACGTAAATTATATATTTATAATAATTGTCATGTGGTAAATGATACTACAGAAGAGATAGAAATCCACATTGGGATTTTTGAGATAAAATTTAATTTGAATTAATTGAAATGCAATTTTGTAAATCCAGGTGACCGTAATTAAGAACTTTTCTGGAAATAGAGATCTGCGGGTGTATGTTAAATTACATTACAAAAGAGATTCAATGTTTGAACTTTTTGAGCTGAAATTTAATTTAAAACTAACTAAAATGTAATTTTGTGACAGTAATTAAAGAGTTTGGGTAAATGTACAGGCGTTTCGTTTGTTCTTTAGATATATCCGTAACGTAGCTAAAACCAACTCTCAAATTTCTGAATTGCTGTCTAGAAATTTAATATCTTTTTTTTTATAAAAGATAAGCATATATCATAATTTCAAAATTTTTTATATGATATCTACACATTCCCTATTATGCTGTGATCTTTCTAAAAATATTAATTCAATATAAAATTAATATAAATATAATAATATATAACGCATTAAATTAAGTATTATAAGTTTAAGCATTCTGTTTTAAATGTATTCAATAATTGAACGGTCCTTTAAAATTTAAAAGTTCTAGTGATGGTGCACTGATTACAAGTAAAAAAAAACTATTTATTTGATCTCTATCCTTCGATTTAGATTTCATCTACATTTTGCCCGAACCGAACAGCCGATTAATCAATTTCGTCCTTTTGGCTAGATTCTCGATTGAAACTAGCGATCGTAGCGAACGAACCTTGTGTTTCTCTTTAGGCGCTGTGTGCCAGCGTTTCGAGTGGATCTGATCGACGTCCCGCTGGTGATTAGACGTGGCCGCGATATTGAGTTTTGCAGTTGGACTGGTGTAACTTTGGAGGGTCCTATAGTGTTGAGAATGTCGTGCAGGAGAGTTTGTCGGCGACGAGGAACAACTCGCCGGTCCTATGGTCGATTCAGGTCTCGTATCGAGTCGAACGCTCTCCTCCGAGACGTTCACGTCCTTCAGGTCTTTCGGGGATTCTTGAAAGAAATCGATTTTTATTTATCTTTCAAGCCGGTCGTTCGTACGGGAAATACTAAGAACATACGTTCGACAAAGTTTCTCATATTTCTGATATTTCGCTACTTCTACGAAACTATAATAATGCACGAGGGATCAGAAAAGCGAAACGATTTCAAGTAATTTTAATCGATCTCGTGTATGAAAGTTCTGCAGAAGAATGTAGAAATGTATCAAGTGAATTAATGTAGAAACGAATTGTATGAAAATAGTAAATAAATGTGATGAAAGGAAGGCGGCTATTGGTGATTAAAACGAATCTTTTTCTGGATGATTGATATTGAAAATTGACGTATTTGCTTCGGAGTGATAATGTAAATTTATCGTAAAACGTTCTATATTTATTAAAGCGACGTTCTATATTTTCTCAGCGACGTCGCTACGATGTTCGAATGTTCTACACAGACAATTTTAAACAGAGATATTCTAGTTTTATAAATGAATTTAAGATTGACTCACGTTCAATATACATGTTAGGTATTTCGAACATGTTAGGATTTTAAAAGAAACAAATGACTGCCTGAGAGATATATAACTATAAATATTTTATTTCAAGTCTCGAAACTATTAATTATATTTAGAAATGAAGTTTATAGCTACAATATTCATAGTTCTCACAAAACATTTATTGAACTGAAAGTTCATCGAAATTAATCTACTTTGATATTCTACAATTTTCGAATAGCATTATTTTCTTTTCTCTTCCGCTTTATTCTGATATTGACAATCCAATATATATTTTTACACAAGGACGACGGTTTATGGATGAGAAAGCCATAACTGACAACTTTATTTAAGGGATATATCTTAAGCTTTGCTTTCACGTAGCAAAGGGACATTCCCTATAAATGTATTCACCACGAAACTGTAAAACAAGTAACGTATATCCTATACAGTTTTATGGCAGTAAAGTTTTTAAAATCAAAGAGTGCAATAAAGAAGACAAGTTGAAGAAAAAAATTTCATCTGTGCTCTTTCGACACCAAGAAGCAAAGGCTTTCGTGTTATAAAACTCACCGGAAGTGGCCACTATCGCGTACGTAGATTTATACTGTGGACTGACAAGGGGTGAATTGAATTGTTCCATTGTCAAAGACTCGTGCATACTTCCGTCCTCTGGCATGTCCGGCGATACGTGATTGGCAGTCTCTGTCAGCATTCCACCGGGAGTTAAATTTAGTAGAAGTCCCTGAAAATCGTTCGAATCGTTTATATATCGATTGAAAGTACATAGGAGGTTCAGCTACATTTGCAACAAGAAACATAATGATATAAGTGAGAGTGAAAAATGAGGTTCGTGTAATAATTATGGAGTATAAGACTGAGATACAGGACAGCAGATATATATGACATTTATGGCGTTTCAAACACATACGAATAACTAGATTATGAATCAAATGTGACAGAGATAATATTATGGCAGCTTCGTTAAGAAGTTCGTTTTTATTAACTTTCATTAGATATCTTAATTCTCGTCTATCTTGATTTGTCTGTTGACATAATGGTAAAGAATTAACACAATGGAAAAATAAAGTTGCAAATTCTTTTATTGACAATGAATAAGTATGAATTTCTATATTCAATTGCGCATAAAATTCACATAAATCCTTCTTTCATTATCTAAGTCATGTGTTAGTCAATATTTCATACGGAACTTTTATCACCGCGAAAGTGGCTAAGGATTGGTTGCTCTAAAACCCCCCAAATCAACAAATTATTCATCACAAATTTTAATAAAAAATTCCTAGGAAACGTTAGACGAACCGTCGTGCCTTTAAAGTGTATATTCACTTTCAACTCTCACTGTATATTCGTTAATGGACTACTTCTCTTCCCTCCGTTTCGAACGAGAGTCGACTACTCGTGTCATCCGACAGATGACAAACTTCGCGGACTTTTAATGACAAATTAAAATTCGTCTTATCGCCTTGGAAAAGTTTCAGCATATTTATGAGCTGGATCTTACCTTCATGTTTATGGCGAATCCAAATGGATTTTTTAGAACAGTCGGCGAGCTCTGAAGTTTTTGCCGCCGATTCAGAAGTAGAACAATGACGAACACCAGCAGAAGAAGTAGGATAATGGCAGTCAGAACACCTATTAGTACCTCTAAATATTCCTGACCCTCTCCCGCTGCTGTAACTATGCCAAATGTTTCGCTTTAATGGAGAACGGTCGGTGACCTCTCTGCGTCTTTATTTCCCCCTCGTACAAGCAATAAATCGAACGGATAATTTCACGTAAAATAATACTAAATAATTTCTACAGCTACTCCCATTAATATTCGGATATTAAATATTAAAGCAGTTATTAAATATTAAATGTTAAACATTAAAACAATTATAATTTTGTAAACAGAAATCGTACAAATTCGATGAATTCCAGCTTATTTTAAAGTTTGAAACTCCCCCCAACTGTCAATTCATTCGAAGATGTTTTTACTATTATACTAAATGGCACAGCCAGAGAGAAGACATTTTTCTTCTCGGAAATGTTTTAAATTGTTACACTATGTAAAAACGACGACCACGATTTTGTTCACGAAAGTGTTAATAAACTAAAGATCGTTTAGCAAACAAATATACACGACTCAGAGCATTCGAAGAGTTTGGTGGTTAGTCGAATAATCGAAGAACGCAATTCACGTTAGTATAGTGACGGGGACGAAGAATCTTTCCCTGTTGGCGACCGTTTCATTGTTCGTAAAGGACATACCAGTCTCGGTACATCCTTCTTTACCCTTTTCTGTCACTTAAAAAACCATAACGTTTTATCACGAACCAGAGGAAAAGGCTAATCGTCGTTTCACCGGGAGCGAAACTTTATATACTTGGAAGAAAGCTATGTAAAAGAGGACAGGACCGAGGAAATAGGAAGAGGAAATAAGAGGGAAGAGAAGGAGAGCACGAGCGAAGAAATAAGGCGACGTTGGAGAGAGACGAAACGCGGCTGGCTCGATAAAGCGACTTTACAATGCGACGTTACATTCTTCTAATTTTTCATGTCGGCCAGGCCAACTGTTTTATCGGTTGGCACAGCTCGTGCACAATGAAAACGGAAGCGGCGTCACGACGCCGGTTTTACGAGAGAAATAAATAAGCCAGCCGAGAATGGCCTCGCGTGCGGCGCGATCAAGATCTCAAGCTCGGCCCGGAGACTCGGAGACCGATTTTCTTCGATCAGCCGGCTCCTCGAGACCGTTCTAAGGAGAAAAGTCAGACGGTGGCCAAAGTCGTCTCTGTGTATACGTGCCCGTGCTGGTGTCCGTGTAATTTCGTACTTTAATTCGGTAGCACCGGTCTCCGTGGACCCGTGCACTCGAACCGGAAAATCTACCCTTTAAATGACATCTCTTTCTATCGAAAGAAACAAGGGGAAATGGACAGGGACACGCCGCAGGGCTTTTAATTCCTTTTGTTCCGAATCTCCATCTCTTTCCCTCGCTTTGTTCCCTTTCTTTTTACCTCTTTCCTCCCTCTTTCTTTTTTTCCTTCCTCCCTATTTTCGATCTCATTCCTTGCGGTCTACTTTTCTTATGTATTCTTTAGACTTTCTTACCATTTTTCCTTGCCCCTCCCACTGTTTTTCCCTCCACCGATAGTCTTGCTCGTTTTTCTCCTTCGAGCGGTATTCGACGATAATATCAACAGGCATAAACAGCACGTCGTTTCGTATTATTTCGATACCACTACTCGCTTCCATTACACGTTTCCTGTTTTTCTTCCTTTATTCCTTCTCCCCCTCCCTCCCCCCCCC